GCCGGGGCGGCTACGCCATGTTAGCCGTAGGTGGAGCTCCCTCTGGGGCCACGGAACGTGTGAGAGGCCCCCCTGCGGTCGTGTCCACTGACACAGCAGGTGGAGAGCCCCATGGGACACCGAGGCGTATGAGCGGTGTTCCGAAATGAGCGGGGACGCCACCACACGTGTGAGGGGAGCGCCGCACGTGGGCACGGCGCCGCCATGCGGAACCCTGGTCCCTCCGGGGCAATGAAACGTGTGAGAGGTGTGCCCGAAGGTGTGCCGACACGGGTGATGGGCCACCATGCGGGCCCTGCCGCTGGGGCGGTCGGTGGAGGTCCGTTCTCCTGCCGCCGTGGCATTCGGTGGAACTCCGCCTGCGGCCACGAAGCGTGCGAGCGGTGTGCCGAGATTGATGCGGTGCCGCTTAGTTGCCACTCGCGATGGGGCGTTCGGTGGTGCTCTCCTTGTGGCCGAAACGGGTGTGAAGGGTGTGCCGAAATCGTGCGGTGTCGCAATGCACCCCCCTGTGGCACTCTTCTGTGATTTTTTAACCACAAGTAGTGGGAACCTCTAGCGAAACGCTACAGTAGGAGCTCGACCACAAGAAACCCTCCACGAGAAACCCGGCCACGAGACCCCAGGACATCCGTTGATTCTTGGTGTGGGAACGTCCCGCTTTCCACAGCAAAACCATCGAAACCCAAGAAACCCAGGGCACCCTGGAGGCAAGCAGGGTGGTTCTTGGCATGCGTTGCCACTGCATCACGGAAGGACGGCGGAGCGCGGCGAGAGGAGCGCGCAGGGGCCTTCTTCAGGGCGACCTTGACGTGCCCGATGGTCTGCAGCATGATGCCGTTGGCGGCCGACTTGCGGAAGACGCCGAAGCCGATGCCGTTGAAGAAGCGCCCGATGCCGCCGAGCTCGTAGAGGGCCTTTCGGTGTTGCCAGAAGCCGGGAGATCCTGGCGTCAGAGGGGCGATCGTGCCTCGCTTCGAACTGCAGGGTCCTCAAGGATCGATCCGGCCCGACACGTAACGCAGGAAGACGGGGTCCACTGGTCCGCTCGAGTCTGCGTTTTTTCGTGACGCCGGATCTCAGGGGAAGGTGCTTCCAAGACTTCCAGAGAGACCCTCACGGCCTCCGCAGCACCACTCAGCAGACCCAGAGAGCATCGGGGGCTTCAAGGTGACTCGAGAAGCTGAGGACACCCTGCTGGGCCAGGGACGCCTCTGGCAACACCCAGGGCCTGGGTCGAAGCGAGGATGCCCATGTTGTTGGCGATCTGGTAGTTCTTGATCACGCCGAAAGGGTTGGTCATCATCTCGCCAAGGCCCCCCGCCAGCATGCTGAAGCAGAACGCCACGACCATCTGCGCGCAGGAACCTGGGCAGACACAGCTGCAAAGACCCCGTTGCTCCCCGGACCTCTCCCGGGGTACGCTCGGACCAGTCATCCGAGGCGAATCCAGCCGCGGCCACAAGGGCCGTCCAGGTGGCCTAAGAGATGAGGAAACGGTGCAGGAGAAAAGGCATCTGCATGTTTCTTCGCACCGCAGGGCCCTTCTTGAAGTTCTTCTCCCAGGAGTCCAGCTTCTTCTGCAGGGTGGCGTTCAGCACCAGCGTGACACCGAAGCGGGCACCCTGGGAAACGGAGCCCATCACCATCCCCACCAGGTAGCCGTTGAGTGTTTCGGGGAGCGGGTTGCCCACTTGCCGGCAAGTCTTCATCACGTCGAGTTGGTGGGTGATCGCCGCGGAAGTGATGCCTGCCATCACGCCTCCCCAGAACATGAACTGCTGCTTCACCACAGGCTTGATCTCCTTCCCATCCTCCCATGGCGAAAAGGAGCGGAGGAAGCCTCCGTCACCGGCACGTTTGTGCCTCAAGTTGTTTCGCAGGATCAAGAAGACGAGCACGGCGATGATGCCGCCCAGGACGTACATGCCCGACATTGCGCTGGAAGCAACAGTATACCACTCGGGGAGGGGGCCGGGGTGCTGCTCCAGCGGGCTTGGGAAAAATCTGCAGGCAGGGGCAAGGATGACTAAGGGACGGAGCGACGTCTATATTCACTGCGATGGCGATGCTACTAGCGCCAAATTGTATAAGGACTATAAATGTGTAAATATAACTAATGCATACATACATACATACATACATACATACATACATACATACATACATACATACATGCATGCGTGCATGCATGCATGCATACATACATACATACATACATACATACATAAATGCATCCATACATACATACATACATACATACATACATACATACATACATACATACATACAATCATACATACACACATGCATGCATGCATGCATACATACATACATACGTACCTACATGCATACATACATACATACATACATATATACATACATACATACATGCATACATACATACATTCATACATACATACATACATACATGCATACATAAATACATACATACATACATGCATGCATCATACATACATACATACATACATACAGACAGACAGACAGACAGACAGACAGACAGACAGACAGACAGACAGACAGACATGTATACAAACATGCATACATACATGCATACAGACATACAGTCATACAGACATACAGACATACAGACATACAGACATACAGACATACAGACATACATACATACATACCTGCATGCATGCATGCATGCATACATACATGCATACATACATGCATATATACATATGCTTGTCCCCCCCCCCCACAGCACCCTCAAACGGCGGAGTGAGGGGGAGGAGGGGTGGTTTCCCCCTGAGCGTCCTTCTCTTCTTCCTCATGCTCATCTTCATCCTCATGGTTCCTCCTCCCCCTCATGGGGGGCACCCTCCTCATGGTCATTATCTTCCTTCCCTGCTCCTCATCCTCCTCGTTCCTCCTCCCTTTCCTCCTCCTCTTCATCTTTCTCCTCCTCCTTCTGCTCCTCCTCCTCCCTCCTCCTCCTCCAGGAGGAGGAAGAGGATATAGGCTTTCAACAAAAATACTTTTGCATGTGTTATCAATCGCATTCTTGTTGTATAGGCTTTCCATAGGAATCCTTTTGCATTGGCTTTCAATCGGAATCGTTTTGCAAAGGCTTCCAATAGGAATCCTTTCTTGCACAGGCTTTCCTTAGGAATTATTGTGTGGAGCTTTCAATTGGAATCCTTGTGTACTGACCTTCAGTAGGACTCCTTTTGTATCGGCTTTCATTGGAATTCCCTTTGTATGGCATTTCATTGAAATTCCTTTTGTATTGGCGTTCAATACGGGTCCTTTTTGTATGGGCGTTCGATCGGAATCATCTTGTATTGGCTTTCAATAGGATCATGTTTGTATTGGCTTTCAACAGGAATCCTTGTGTAGAGGCTTTCAATAAGAATCCTTTTGCAAAGGATTTCAATCGGAATCCTTATGTAAAGGCTGTCACTGGGAATCCTTTTTGTATTGGGTTTCACTGGGTCCTTGCTTCCAGACCTTCAATAGGAATGATGTCCGAATCGCACAAAAAGAAGGCCGACGACCCCCGAACCCTTTTGCATTTTCTTTCAATACGAATCCTTTTTGCATTCGCGTTCAATACGGATCTTTTTGCATTGGCCTCCAATGAGAATGTTGTCGTTCTTCCTTGCATTCGGAATCCTTACAAAGGTTGTCACTCGGCATCCTTGTGTAAAGGCTTTCAATTGGACTCCTGTGTAATTGTTTCGCTCGCATTGTTTTGTGTTGGCTTTTAACAGGAATCCTTCTTGTATTGGTTTTCAATAGGAATCCATGTGCAGAGGCTTTCAACAGGAATCGTTGTGTACAAGTGTTCCATAGGAATCCCTGTATAAAGATTACAATAAGAATCCGGTTGTAGGTCTTTCACTAGGACTTCTTCCAGATTGGCTCTCATTGGAATTCCTTGTTGCATTGGCTTTCAATCGGAGTCATTGTGTATTAACCTTCAATGGGAACCCTTTCTGTAGAGTCTTTCAATAGGAATCCTCTTGTCCTTGCTTTCAATTGGAATCCCTTTTGTAGAGGTTTGAAATAGGAATCCTTGTGTACAGGCTTTATATCGTGATCCTTCCGCATTGCCGTTACATCGAGATAGCGAAAGCGTTCTTCCAATGTGTCCACCTTGCCCAAAGACGGCCCATCGACAAAATCCGTCGTGTTTTCCGGCTTTTCCAATGGAGCTTTTCCCAGAGACCACCCTGGTAAGAAACGCTGTGTTTTCCAGCTTGTCCAGCTTTTCCAGCTTCTCCCAGAGACTGCCCTGGTGATAAAAGGCTGTGGTTTCCACCTGTTCTAGCTTCTCCCAGAGACTACCCTGGTGAAAAAAAACAATGTATGTTCCAGTTTCTACAGATGTTGTAGCTTTTCTCAGAGACAACCCTAGTTTGGTTATATCTGAAGTACACATATGTGTACGTATATCAATATATATATATATATATATATATGTGTTGGTGACAAACGCTGTGTTTCCAACTGTTTCAGCTATTCCAGCTTTTTCGAGAGAGTCCACTGGTGTGTATATATAGCCATAAGAACATATAGTATCAATATCTACTCATACAAATATAGATCCCAGACACTACCCTAACGAATAACGCTGTGTTTCCAGCTTTTCCAACTCGTTCCAGCTTTTCCCAGAGACTACCCGAATGAAAAAACGCCGCGTTTCCAGCTTGTCCATCTTACCCAACCTTTCCCAGAGACTACCCTGGTGAAAGACGCTGCGTTTCCCAGCTTTTCAAGTTTTCCAGAAGACTAGGCAACAGAGCGCTCCAAGATTGCCCAAGGTAGGCTTTGGGAAAACATGGAAAGGCTGGAAACCCTTGAAAACACCACGTTGTTCACTCGGGTAGTCCCTGGGACAAGCTGGGAAAGCTGGAAGCGCTGGAAAACCCTACGCTTTCCATTATGGTAGTCTCTGGCAAAAGCTAGGGCAAAGCTGGAAAAGCTGGAAAACGCAGCGCAGGAAGAGAAAGAGAAGGAGGATGACGACAACGAGCGAACGAGCAAGGAAGGTTTTGCGATTCCAATGGTTTGGGGGTGCTGGGCGGAGGCGACAATATATATATATATATAATTATATATATATATATATATATATATATATATATAAATAAATAAATAAATAAATTTAAAAAAATAACTAATAAAAAGAGATTAACTAATTGATACATGCAAGCTCCGTAGAACTGGAAGCGACCTGGGCTGGGAATGCAAGCTGAAGGCGGAAGAGTTTCAGCCGAAGTGGCCAGGGCCAGGAGAAAGTAGACGGTCTCTAGGGGCCGTCCGAAGGCAAACAGAGAAGGCGCGCGCATCGAGAGCGCTGAGGTTCCAGCACGCTCGAGTTGTAGTCTACAAGGTTCGGCATCGGAGGATAAATGTTGCCACGCGGACCGCGCCCCTTGGAACGTACACCTGCGGCCCCAGAATTTCCCTGGCGACGTACCCAACCCTTGCGCAATGCGGGGCAGAAGTACATCAGGATTGCCACAACGGGGGCGAAGACGCAACATGGACGCATGTGATTTTGCGAGCAGCAATCGGAAGGCCCGCAGGCCCCCGGTCAAGATTGAAGGGATACGTGATAACAAATCACCCCCGTTGGCTGTGCCATGCGCCCGTTGCACCCAACGTATCCCACTGCAGCCCTTGAGAGCCCCCGCGGGATACGTGCAGGCGCAACGTTATGGCCATCGCCCAGAAGATGGTCTGTTTCACAAATATCCCCGTTGGCTGCGACATGCGCCCGATGCGCCTAACGCATCCCACGGGAGCCCCCCCAGGGACGGCGAGGTCCCGCTCAGATCCCCGCGGTGCCTCACTCCGCAGGACCCACCAGCAGCCCGCGAAAGTGGCAACACTGTCGCAGATCGCAGCCCCCGAGGGACGGCGAGGTCTCGCTCAGATCCCCGCGGTGCCTCACTCCGCAGGATCCACCGGCAGCCCTCAAAAGTGGCGACAATGTCGCAGATCGCAGCCCCCCAGGGACGGCGAGGTCCCGCTCAGATCCCCGCGGTGCCTCACCCCGCAGGACCCACCAGCAGCCCTCGAAAGTAGCGACAGTGTCGCAAATCGCAGCCCCCCAGGGACGGCGAGGTCCCGCTCAGGCCCCCGCGGTGCCTCACTCCGCTGGACCCACCAGCAGCCCTCGAAAGTGGCGGCAGCTTCGCAGATCGCAGCCCCCCAGGGACGGCGAGGTCTCGCTCAGGTCCGCGCGGTGCCTCACTCCGCTGGACCCACCAGCAGCCCTCGAAATTGGCGACAGCGTCGCAGATCGCAGCCCCCCAGGGACGGCGAGGTCCCGTTCATATCCCCGCGGTGCCTCGCTCTGCTGGACCCACCAGCAGCCCTCGAAAGTGGCGACGGTTTCGCAGACCGCGGCCCACAGGGACAGCGAGGTCCCGCTCATATCCTCGCGGTGCCTCACTCCGCTGGACCCACCAGCAGCTCTCGGAAGTGGGGACAGCTTCGCAGGTCGCAGCCCCCAAAGGACGGCGAGATCACGCTCAGATCTGCTCGGTGCCTCACTCCGTAGGACCCACCAGCAGCCCTCGAAAGTGGCGACAGTGGCGCAGATCGCAGCCCCCCAGGGACGGCGAGGTCCCGCTCAGATCTGCGCGGTGCCTCACTCCGCTGGACCCACCAGCAGCCCTCGAAAGTGGCGACGACAGTGTCGCAGATCTCCGCCCCCCAGGGACGGCGAGGTCTCGCTCAGATATGCGCGGTGCATCACCCCGCTGGACCCACCAGCAGCCCTCGAAAGTGGCGACGGTTTCGCAGATCGCAGCCCTCCAAGGGCGGCGAGGTCTCGCTCAGGTCCGCGCGGTGCCTCACTCCGCTGGACCCACCAGCAGCCCTCGAAAGTGGCGACAGTGGCGCAGATCGCAGCCCCCGAGGGACGGCGAGGTCTCGCTCAGATCCCCGCGGTGTCTCACTCCGCTGGACCCACCAGCAGCCCTCGAAGTGGCGACAGTTTCGCATATCGCAGCCCCCCAAGGACGGC